CTGCTGTGATCTTCTGCTGGGCCTGTGTGAGTCACAGTGCTGTGGCCTCAGAGCCGAAGCTAATTCTGTCTTTCTCTCATAAAACATATAATTGATGTGACAGCAGATGCACAAGGCAAAGGAGCTTCAGTGATTTCAATTCAAATGAGAGCAATAGTCAAATCTGCTGCAGAGGATTGTCGGAGCAGGTACTGTCTGTCTGCTAGCCTGGACCGGCCCACTATATAGGAATCTGGTTCATATGAGATGATAGGATGGTTGCTGGGTGTGTAGTGCATCTGATTGTCATGCTGCAATTAGCGTTTTATAACTTTTACCCTGATTTCTCCTGATGGGTGAATGATGACATATAGTGTTAAAGCGCTTTGAGTGGTCGTAAGACTAGAAAGGTGCTATACAAGTCAATTTACCATCGAGTCAAACTGTGTAACTGTTCTTTGCATTTCTGGGAACCAAAATCCCATGAAAGAATATCTGCACACAGAGCCATCATTGATTTCCCTTTGCACAAGGCCACGATTCTCTGCTATAAAGGACAGTAATTATTGGTTTTGTGGCCTTAAAATGATAGCAAGTATTTGCTGTGTGGGGTGATGTGGTCTGCTGTATGTAACACCTTTACAACCTTACCCTCCTCTTGTGATGCAGGTGCTGAAGGGATGCAAGATGCTGGCCATTTCAGTGTGTTCCATGGGTCGGATCCCTGGAGGCTACATCACCAACCATGTGTACAGTTGGGTGGACCCTGAGGGCCGGAGCATTTCCCCGCCACCTGACGACTGTCAGGAGCCCAACCAGAGGCAAGCACATGGCATGGAGGAAAGGACGGTAAGAAACATCTGTGTGTGGGTGTTTGCTGGTTGTTCAAGAGAAAAAAGGCAGTTGTAATAAATGGTAAAAGTACATCAGGACTAAACTAACTAACATTCACACCAATGTGAAACAATTTGGGGTACAGTGCCTAAGGAAACTTCAACATGGACTGGAGGAGCCGGGGTTCGAACAAGCAATCTTTTGATTTTGAGCGAAATAATAGATGCGATGCGATGCGATGTACAATTCAAAATGAATAAAACAACGATTAAACAAATAAGAGCAGCACAGACTTTGAGGAAGTACTTTTACAATTTACTAATTTGAATGATCCAAAATATGCTGCAAACAAATGTACTGACACATCCCAATGCATCTTGACTCAAGTCCACACTTCTGAATGTCATATCCTTTCTGTAGGCAGATCTAAATATGGACGGTGGTCGCTCTCTGGGCCTAATGATCAGAGGCGGTGCTGAGTATGGACTGGGGATCTACATCACAGGAGTGGACCCTGGATCTGCTGCAGATGCTGGTGCACTAAAGGTACCTCAAATCAACCTTCTAATAGCATTGCTACATTACACCACAAAACCTTTCCCCCCATGTCCAATCTAATGACAATTCTTCATCTGTGAGATGGTGGCAAAGCATCATGACCTGAGGTTATCTATAAGAATAAATGATTCTAGGTTTCACTCAAGCCGTTCTCCCCCAGCATGTTTGGTCAGAACATTCCTACATCAACTCAAATGTTCCCACAGCCGAACCAATCAGTGCTTCCATCACTGTACAATGCTCCCTGATATTTAATTAAGTTACATTTAGCCAAAGTACAGTGTTGTGATTCCTTGGGAAGCGGAATTTACTTTAAAGTTTTTGATTCACGACAATACATGTGAGAAACTAATGCTGACTTGAACCCAAATCATAGTCCTGTTGAGAATCATAGGCCAGGTTTGTGTAAACATACAAGGAATCAGACGCCAGCTCTGAGGTTGCTCTTGTGTCCCGTTCCAAGAAGATATAAATAAACATACAGCTGAACACAAGGACAACACAGCTGAACAAGGAGAGGTACAAATAAACCTACAACTACTTTGTAGATACAAGTCGGTGAAATAAATTCTTAATATACTATATGTATATATATATATATAGATATATATATATATATATATCTATACATATATATATAGATAGATAGATAGATAGATAGATAGATAGATAGATAGATAGATA